GTCATTATAAGTAAACAACAAGGGTTGATGGACAGGTTAGTAGGGGAAAATAATGGACCATTGGTGATCAAGCTATCAGTCAGCGACTGCTGGTAATGGATTACCTGCGATAAGGCAGGGGAATGCCCCCTCGAAGCCTGCAGGTAAAACACTGAACAAGAAGAGGAACAATACAGAAGGTATATCAGGGATAGGGGATGATAAGGGGTACTCTTAGTAGCACGTGACTTTTCAATGATTTACACAATGGGCTGGACGGAAGGAAAGTCACCATGTGATGTTAGGGACTAAGGGAGAGAAAACATCGAGTGGAGCGAGATGGAGTATAGGCAGGAGAGAGGGGAGAAAGCAGACATGTGCAAACATAACGAGAAGGAACTAAACTAATTGTAAATCATATAGTGGTGTTGTGTTACACGATATGTGTTTATTGTGGTGCCGTGATCAGAATGGGAACAGGTCAAACAGTGGTTAACTCTCGTGTTAATGTCCCGAGGATATCCTGCGAACCTCAATTGATGGGACTCACATCAGTCATTGACACTTAAGGTATAACAAGTGCAGTAAGAAGTGGATCAGGCCGATCGATAAATATGCTACACTGACGGGTATTAACCCAAACAGAATACTATTGATTGCGTACCAATCGGTACAGGGGCCGGTAGGTGACTTTATTAAAAGGTTCTTAGAAGAAAATCCGGTGGGAACATGGGCTGAGCTTAAAACAACAGCGCTTTCATTTCGATCACTGATCCGCGTTGATGTTGTTACGAAAACTTCAAGCTAAAGGTCATGAGGAAAAATCCACAGCCTTATGGAGCCTCTGTAAACATTGCTATGGTGGAGCAAAATTTACGGAAACGGATCCCCTACGGATAGGGGTTAGAATGTATTCGCTTTGTCCTTCTGCATGTGGTAAAAGGACCAACCGGTCTGCCGTGGATGGCGTCCCGTTAGTGCTGGAAAAGGGATCCTGGTGGTTGATGAGTGATTATGTGTTTGCGCTTTATTCTCGAGTAATCTTGCATTGCTTCAACCCTATACATCACTTTGGCCTCTATCTCAGTAAGACGGCCCTCAATAACCAACCGGCTGGTAATACCAAGCCCTGGGCCAACTGTATTTCCTAAGTGTTTAGATTTTTCCTTTTTATATCACTCAGCGGTATGCCCATCTATCTATATATTTTCCAGTTGTATCAAAGAAGGCGTTGGCCAAAGAGTCGGTCGGGAGAGTTCTATTTTTGCGATTATACTATCAGTATCCTTGACACTCGTTTACCTGAGATCCGTACCGGTTGCAGTGTGTGATTCCGAGGTAGGTGAGGAACACGGGTAATGAATATCTAAACACCTAGTTAAAATAAACGACCTTGTCCTTCATCATCAGACTCCTGAATACAACCAGTTCATCGCAATGCGTTCATTGGAAAATATAAACCAATGTTATCTGTTTCATTATTCGTGAAAAAAAAAAACATTCTGGCAGTGCTTCATTTTACTGATTTTAAACCATGGCTCATTACATCTTATTCACCGAGGATATCTTTTAACATATATGAATGTTTAAGGTATGTATGACCCATCAGAAGACGGGCAAGGACAACTTCATTTCGGTGGTTATCTCTATAGCATGGAGACCATTCACCGATGCTAGATTTTATTCCTCATGTCAATGAGCTGTTTAAATTGTTTTGATAAATGGTTTAAAATTAGAAATGTTTAAAAACAACAGATGGTAGCGATAGAGCTGCCTTTGCGGCACGATCTGCCGCCCAAGAACCCAGAAAAAAATAATACGAAAGTTTGAGGTAAGTTCATGATAAAGTATAGAATGAAAATAGTTTCAATATTTTTATTGCTAAGACTTTTCAGTACAGAAAAATATTCTGAATAGATAATAGCACTCATTACTTTGTTTTAATATGTTCAAGTGCGAGATAGATAGCTAGGGAATATTGAGGCGATGTTGGGTAGCTGGCATCCATAGGCTTCATCTGGAGTAATCATGGCCGCGGCATCCTTATCATTATAAACGATGTGTTGCGGTGTATTGACACATATATGTCATCTAGGTTAGGTGTTCGATAGCGCTTTGTATACAGGTAAGCACGAAGGTGGCTGATAACTAATATTGTATCGGGTATGCATAGTTGTTTACGGCCATGTTGAATGTTTGAAGATATACTCTGTGACGATGTTCTTCATTAATTTACAAATGTGTGTTGAATGTTAATGCCTAGTGATAAGCATCTGGAGGCCTTTCCATCCATGAAGAGTACTTGATTGTAATAAATCTGGGATTTGAGAGGAGTTTTGATATTTGACCCATGTTTAGTCTCTGGGAGGCAGCTGGGGTCAATAAATGCATCTTATAAAACTTTCATGTTAAAATAATGATTCTAGCAAGGATTGAACTGTTTCCAACAGACAATAAACTATAGTAAATTAAACCCCCTCACCTGGGGGAAATGTGAGATCCTCGGATCATGATTTTTTTTATAAAGCATCTTAAGGCCTTACCATCCATTAATCTGTTTACGAATGTATTGAATACATAGCTATAGTCGTTAACCCACAGTCAACGATAGCAATAATCACGCACTGCATGATAGTAATACATCCACAATGAGAATAGTAATGAATCCGAATGATTTCCACTCTTCACGATATGAAAAAAATCCACATATGCCATAGTAATAATTATTCCAGCTCGGTATGATTTCCACATTTAAGATAAGCAATAGACCAATGTTATCCACCGGTTCCTGATGGGTAGTTTGTTGGTCCTTGTAATCGATCCATCACTGCCATTGTCACAATGTTCACAGTTATTCCTCATTAGCAATCATTGTACTATGGATAGTGCATCATCTTGTTTACATAGTCGACTGTATCTCATACACAATATACAACAGTTTTATGATTGGCAAGTGGAGTAAGTACTGCATCCTGCTCTCTTTAGTTAACAAGGTCTACGTTTTACAGGCACTGCATAAACCAATATAGGCCCATGGTTTTTCATCGTAAATCTGGCTACATTTTCATCAGCTTTTGTCTCTGTCACTAATGTGTAATCATGGAGTATGGTCTAACGATGGCCGAAACCTGCTTGATAGCGATAGATTGCGCTTCCCGTGCCGTAGCTTAAATCATACTCAAGAGATTCTTACCTTGTTAATGATCAATACAAAAAGTAAACAAGAAATTGTCTTATCTGAACCATGCATATTCGGGAAAAATGATTCAATAAAGAATCATTTTAAACGAATTAAAATTATTTTAATTTACTTTTACATTTTTCCTCTTGAAAAGTAAAGGTAAATAAAACGTATACCTTTCCATACCAGTCTGGCTTCGCCTTTGCCAGTACCCTTATCTTTACTTTGAGCAAGACGTCATGTAAACATTCCCTCTTTTATGTCCACGTGCCATAATTCAATCAAATGTAAGTAATGTATTGCACAACACTACAATGTATCAATACAATATACAAATGTATCCTACGTAGCTCTGATGCCGTAATACAGAGCTCGTTATATTCATCACGATGACGTCAATGGACGAGAAGATATCAATTTCCGGATTTTTGCTCTCCAGTCTTGGACCATAAAATAGCTGTTGGTCTTGAAACAGTGATGTCTCTTCGATGTTTGTATGATGAGACTCCAGGAATCTGAAAAGGTTAATAAAAAAATTTGGTAGGAATGTTCAGGTACACGGTCTCGGCCTCTGGGGCGAGAGAGGTGGGGCCCAATATCAGGTATATATAAATCACTTTAGACACAAAGGACATGATTTCGAACACAAATTATACGTCTCTGAAAATTGCTATCAAAGTGATTGGGGTGCTCGCGGACGTCCCGTTATATCATGCTCCTTATTTCAGGTCCTCAACAGAAGCCACTACGATTTCGTCAGGATTTTTATGAGCTGCGGTGTCATTTGATATTGACATCACTGGTAATCTGGTCGGGTAGATCTCCCCTTGTAAGCAATATACGGTGTGTTATTAACACTTTTGATGTTTTCCAAAACGTTACATCTGAGTGTGATATTTTCCAACGTGAACACATATATTACTCCCTGCCATGCATATGAGATGTTCAGAAAAATCATCAAGAAAATACATTTTCAAGATCCAAAAATATTCCATAAAAAATAGGCAAAATATGAACAAAAGAGAGATCCTCTGAGAATAAGGATCACATGATTTTTATCTGTGTTTGAGTTAATGACCGAAAACAACACCAGTTGACATAAAGATCTGAATGATTAAGTCTTCCCTATTCTCAGTCTTTCTCATAAGTTTATTGTTAGTGGATCTCTTGTATCCAACCATTTCCGTTACTTCTGCATTTGTTTTTCTTCTTTTCCATGAGATTTTCATGATTCTCCGCATGAACCACATCTCCACTGCTTCTAGTCGCTATTCTGTGTCCTTGGTGAGGGTCTAGCATTCACATCCGTATAAAGGAATGGACCATACGTATGCTCTCATAACACGGATCTTTGTCTTGCGCTTCATGTTACTGTTGGTAAAAATGCATTTCATGTTGTTAAAAGTTGTCTTATTTTGACCTATTCTCTTCTTGATTTCTGTGTCACTCTCGCCATCCGGGGTGATATTACAACCGAGGTATTTAAAGGCGTTTATTTGTCTGATTCTCTCTCCTTTAAATGCTATGTTGCATTGTGGTATAACAACTTTTTTTGAGATCACCATGCATTCTGTCGTCTTTGCATTGAGCTGCAATCCTTTCTTTTCGTTTTCGTCTGTTACTGTTGTTAAAATCTTTTGCAGTTTTTCTTCAGAGTCGGCGATAAGGACTGTGTCATTTGCATATCTCAGGTTGTTGATGTTGTGGCCACCTAAATAATTTCCTCGTGATTCTCAATATTTCGTGGAATTATTTCACTGTATACATTAAATAAATCAGGTGAGAACACGCAGTCCTGCCTCACACCCCTGCAGATTGGTCTATATTGTCATTGTCGACTCTAATGACTGTCTCCTGTTCCCAATATGTTTCTGAGGACTCGAAGTTCTTTCCCGTCGATGTATAGCCCTGTCAGAATATCAAACAAGTCAGAGTGTCGTATGTTGTCGAACGCTTTTGAGTAATCGATGAGACAGAGGTATAAGTCTTTCTGGACCTCGATGGATCTTTCCAGGAAAGTTTTCAATGCGAAGATTGTATTTCTGGTGCCTTTGTCTGCCATGAATCTAAATTGCGTTTCTGATATTTCTGGGAGTATTTCATTTCTCATTCTCTTCATGAGTATTCGTAAAAGAACTTTGGTGAGGTGACCCATCAGGCTGATTGTACGATGTTGGTCACATTCAGCTGTACCCGGTTTCTTAGGGATCGAAATGTAGATGGACTTCTTCATATCTGTCGGAATCTCTCCTGTGTCATATATATTGTTCAGTAGTTGTGTGACTGCCTTAATTCCCACTTAATCTAAGGCTGTTATCAGTTCAGATAGGATATCATCAGGTCCTGGCGCCTTACCACTTTTCATCTTGCTGAGTGCATGTCTCACTTCGTCTTCCATGATTATGAGGCCATCTTCGTTGCTAACATGAGGAGGTGGACATCTGTCGTCATGGTATAAGTCTTCGATATATTCTGACCACCTGTTAAGAATATCTTCTTTTTCCATGAGTATTTCTCCATCTCTCGACTTTATGCAACCTGTTTTTGTAGATGATTTCTTCCCTGTCACATCTTTTATCTTTTCATGCATAAATTTACTATCAAAATTTGCATTCGTTTCAATTTCCTTGCACTGCATATTTATCCATTCTTCCTTGGATTCATTTATTGTTTATATACTTGCAAATAACTTTCACACTCGGGCATAATATAGTTGTGGATCTACACTTACTTGGCTGAAACCATCCGACTATGATATTACGTATTTCTACTACATTTTGAGATTTTGAGATAAATCGATACTACAAATTGGATATGACAGTACTACATTCATCACGCTCAATCAAAACGTATTTCTTTTCCAATTAACTAATTAAGTAATGCATATGTTTATGTAAGATTTGCTTAACAACGAAAATTTCGTGTCAATATTTCGCAGCCAAAGGCAAAACATATGCTTATCTAATAATTGTTTCTAGAAAATATACTTTTAAATCGTTTACTGAAATTAATGAATAAGCAAACTTTTTTTTCAAATGAATATACTATGCTATCTAATGTATTATTCTCTGTACAGGTTGCTAATAAGAGCAATTCAAATTCAAATGAAAATAAAAATCGTTCCATAATAGTCTATATTAATTGCTTTTATCAACGTTTTATTAACTTTTTTTCCGAAATTTTGTGAAAGTATTTAAACAGCCAAAAATATATTAATATGTTCTGAATAACTGTCGTTGTCAACTTTTCCATTTATGTCCTAATAGTTTTTCAGTTCACTTTTGCCCAATTCGACACGTGTGCATGTTTCACATTTTCCCTATATGTATGTGTGTGGCATAGTTTGTAGTGGGATATGAATGGCCAAATGACCTAACATTACAGATGGTGACTTTCGACAGGATGTCACCTTTGACTTAACAAGTCAGTCGGCTCGTTTTTTACAATAGAATATGCATACTCAGAACACTCGTTGATCGAATATCGAAGTAAGGGTCGGCGTCTTGTGAATCACAGCTACCGTTGCGTCTTATTGGTTGAAGTATAAAACTAGTAAACGAGGTATAAAATAGCTTCCCATGTCCTTTAATATGCCTCTGTTGGAATGAAGATATTTCATTCAGATATGGTCTAAAAAAGCTTGTGTAATAGAAAGCTATTCATGTAAAGATAATTGGCCTCAACCCCATGGCATAAAGGCTGAGAAATGCGGCAACCTCTTTAATGTCCTTCTGTTGTTAAGATGCAATTTGGTCTGAAGTATTTTTGTGTGAAAAAGCAGGGTTTTTAATAAAAATTCCATAGAAACCTCTTGAGGCAAAGGGCGGCATACTGGGGAAGAATATGAATATCTGAGATACTTTCCGTAGTTTAGAACGAGCAATTTCAGCAAATTTAACCAAGTACATGTCCTATGGGAATCTTGTTCTTAGAATGCCATTTGCCTTCCACAATTTTCCTCAGACGGGGGGGATTATGAACATGGTAATTTGTTTTTCACATTCTTCGGTCAGAACATGTATGCCATTTTTATATTTAACTTGTTTGTGATGTTACGGGGTTTAACGTTTTCACAACAGCCAAAGTCATGTGAGGATTGGTGTCAAAAGACAAATCAAAAAGGGAAAATAAAGAACTAGCAAAAAGAAGCATTTTGGACTACACCAGATCTATTTCCATTGGCAGAATTATCGGAAGGAAACCACGATTCTGCATAGGCACTTGCACAGTGTTTTACTATTAGGTAGTGGAATACAGCATACCATATTCTTAGGTTCTCCGGTGTCATCTTAACAGAAGACATCAGAGACACCGATTAGTTAATTGCCTCCTATAATAGAACGTGCCTTCCCAGGCTCTTCGCTCGGAATATGCTCGGTTATTCCTCGTAGAGGGAAGAGTAACTATATCCAGTGTCTAAACGAAACCACGGTGAATGTAAACAAATTTATATGTGCAAGATCCGAGTATCTGACACTATTTGACATCCATAGCAAATTCATAGACATTGAAACTCCTATCAAAGGTAATTATGACCCAAATGACCCTAGTGGTGTGCATGTGAGTAAAAATGGGGCAGAAACAATGTTGGAACCCATCCTTGATTTCCTTTGTGATGAGGAGGGAAGAGATCTGACTGGGGACAAAACCAAAACACCAAATACAAAGAAACGAAAACTAAGTAGTCAGTCTCCTACAACACCTTCAGAGAAACCTACTAACAAGTCGAGTAGGTGTGACAGTTAAGTAGGGAAGCTGCCTAACAGTTTACGGTTGCTTTTGACAAAATGTACATGTATGATACAGGCTAAGACCACTTTATGGACACTTTACCTGTTTCTATCCTGTACTGTTTTGCATACATACCATACTGTACAAGGTACATGTATGCAAACATATGTAGATATATGTTTCATGAACAATATTAAATCTTTTTCCCTTACTTTAATATGTATTTAGACTCAACTATTAGCCAGCAATGTAGTTTCAATATCTTGAGCTTGATTGAAACAAGTAAACATGTACTGGTATATGCCTATAATGAAAAATAACACAATTAATCGTGTTAGTTTAAATGTTAATGGTTTAAGAGATAAAAGGAAAAGAGATAGAGTTTTTAACTGGTAGAATGAGAATTACAAAAGTATTAATGAATGTTGGGACATAACAAAAATAAAGATAAAACAGCTTTGTGTTCAAGAAGAAAAGATGTTGGTATAGAATCAAAGGAAGCGACGGAAACTATAAAATAGGAATAAAAAATATCCTAACTGAACAAACAAACAAAATAAACCTTCAGAGTCCCAAAACAATGGTACAATAAAACCATTGTTAAAAAAGGGCGACAAAGAAGATATAAAAAACCTGGAGACCCATTACATTTCTCAATGTGGACTATAACATTATTGCCAAAATTTTAGTCAATCGTCTTAAGCCCATTCTCAGTAAAATTATTCACACTGATCAAAAACGATTCAAGATATCATAGATTATTGTTACATATAAAATCAAGAAGGATTTATATTTTTTCTTGATCAACAAAAGGCGTTTGACAGGATAGAATGGGGATGGGTCATGAAACGTCTAAAATAGTTTAATTTTGGTAGCGTTTATTGTAATTGGATCTAAATGCCATTGAAAATGCTAAAACATGTATTCAAACAAATGAGTTTAATTCGTAATACTTTAAAATCTCCAGGATGTCCAATTACCCCTCATTTATACATCATCCAAGCAGAATCACTTGTATGGAGCATAAGGGTTGATCCAAGCGTTAAGGGTCGAAACAGAAACCTGTGTTGTCATTATAAAACGAGTGGTGGTATGGAAATGATAGATGTAGAGATATTTTTTCTACAATGTAAACAAATAAAAACAATTCATAAAATACTAAACTCTGAATCTGATAGCTGGGGTGTAGTTGGTAGATATTTTCTTTCCAAAATAAATGAAAAGTATGATACAAAGTATTATTATGTACATGTTCTGATTTGAAAGGAATCAATATTGACAGAATATTGTCAAAAGTTTACTCTGACAGTTTAAAAACTTGGTCTTTTTTTAGTCTTAGACATATAGATAGCTCGCGCTTCTGCCGAGAAAATTGCAGTTAAAATATGAAATATTTCTACATTTATATACTGATGGTTCAAAAGATAATGATAAGGTTGCTGCGGCCATTGTTACACAAGATGAAACCTATGGATGCCGGCTACCGAACAACGCCTCAATATTCTCGGCAGAAACGCGAGCTATCTACCACGCCCTTGAATATATTCAAAGAAACAAAGTATTGAGAGTTGTTATCCATCCAGACTCTCTTTCTTTTCTACAGACTCTTAGCAATAGAAATATATTTTCATTCGTAATACCTTAATACTATATCATAAACTTACTTTTAACTTTCGTATTGCTTTTTGCTGGGTTCCTGGGCACATGGCATTACCAGGCAATGAAAAAGCAGATCGTTCCGCAAAGGAAGCTTTATCGCTACCACATGTTGTTTTTAAACTACATTTTACCGATTTTACACCATTTATTAAACAAATTCTAAAAGCTCAATGGCAGGAGGAATGGAATACCTATACCAATAACAAATTGCACTCCGTAAAACCTGTTATCGGTGAATTGTCTCCAGGCAATAGAGACAACCACCGAGACGAAGTTGTCCTTGCTTGTCTTTGGATTGGTCACACATACCTTTCACATTCATATATGGCGAAGATAATCCTTAGTGCATAGAATGTGATGAGCTATTCACCTTTAAACATTTTCTATTGAACTGCATTGACCTTCTGTCTACTCGAGAACGCTTTTATCGTAACATTACATGTCTAAAATCCATTTTTGAAACTGTTGAGATTTGTAAAATTCTACATTACCTGAAAGATGTTGGTCTATATAATAGACTATGACGTAGCATTTTAATCCTTTGTGTTAAAATACCCATTTAAGATTTTTAACATTTGTCATTTGCCTTTTGCTTTGTTTAATGCTATTTCCTTTTGGATCGCTGTGTGTTTTACCGTTTGATGGCCCTAATGACCTTTTATGTGTTGACGGGGCCGTTACGAATGTAATAATAATAATTTTAACTTTATATTCGCGATTTATGATATTGTTCTGAATAATTATCATCAAGTTGTCAACAAAGTGCCCTGGTCTCCTGTCTGTTTTGGTGCATTGTGTAAATTGTGCAGCATCAAATTAGCTCTGGAATCATTCAATATAAATTGCTTAATATAATCATGCTTTTGATTGGAAAATCTTCATGTTTGCCACACTTTTCCAGGTTGTGTTGATTATGCAAAATAAATTCACAGGTTGGGCGTATGGTATTTAAAACTTCTTCATTTAGCATGCGTGTGGATCATGCGGACCAGGTGAGCTTCGAAGTGGCTTCTTTCATAAATACAACTTGCATTAATTGACCAAATGTGACAAACTTGAACGGTAACACGCCGAAATTTCCCAAAAATCTACCAGGAAAAGAAGTATACACCAGAAATTTAATAACAGAGACATTGGAGACGGTTAGCGTTACATAATGGAATATTCGGCTTTAGAAAATGACCTAAATTGCTTTCAATCGAAATAAATCAAGCAGTGTTCAATTATACAAGATATCCCGATGTCGCA